AGTTGGCCAACCTGCTCAATGCTCCTTCCTTGTAATAAATGCATTGTAACACAATGCATCACATGTAAATAATAACAGTGTTTGCAGAAGTCTAAGATTAAACATTCTCTTAATACACATCTCATTGTTATAATTGAGATGCATCCACATCATCTCTCTCTTATATCCCTTAATGGCCACCCAAAAATGTAAAGCCATGTGCTTTCATACCACTCAGTATGGCCTTGTCCACTTCACGTAGCTCACTCTTCCCTAGCACAACAGTGCTCAGTTGCTTTGGACATTTCAGAAGATACTTGTTAGACATGCTACAGCCAATGCTGCAAATCTGTTACCATTCTGCGATACAAGAGCACTAGCAGCTACATGCTGCAGATAGGCTGAATCCCGTACAGGACACCGACAGAAAACCAGAAAGAACAAAGCAACCAACACCATTTTCCCTTAAATGAAATAGAGCCTATGGGGTGGTGGTTCTCACTGGAACAATCTAATCCCACCTAAATGGCAAACAATATTTCTCTCAGTTTCAACACGGTCAGTCCTACTACCACAGCCTCAATTTTGCTCAATGAGAATGGTGAAAAAACATGTATCTACGTACAAGACAAAAGAGTCCCCTGCCATTATTCAGGAGTCCCAAAACTCCAGCGTCATTTTAGGAGCCACATCAATCAGGCATTCCCGTGCAGAAGAGAAATGAGAAAATGTGAGAGAGAGACAGGAACAGAGAAAGCAGCAGCACTGCCTGAAGGACAACCGGCCAACCCCAGCGCGCACAGGAGCCTCCTAACTACATCCTGCCACCCAGCCAGGGCAAGTGAGAGAGGCCTGGCATCAGGAGATGAAGCCTCCAGCAGAAGGCAACAGCAGGTACATGAGTGCGCCTGCTTATCCCAAGATGAAAACCTGAAAACAAAATACTGAGTTAAAGAGACATCCTGTTGCAGTTCCTTCAGGATGCCTACAAAACAAACCAAGCGTTTTCTGAAAATAAATCGGCATTGCCAGCAATTCAAAGACAGTACCAACACAAGTATTTGTCGTGAGCTGGACATTTCAATTGCAGTTAGCAACGCACCTACCAACAGCAACAAAAGAAAACCATGGTGAACTAAAAGCTCCAAAACAAAATCATGCAAAAATCAACTGTTTTATTTCCCCATACGCATACATGTATTATGGCCCAATGACAGATTCAATTTACCACTTCAAAATGCAGGTTTTATTATAGTAAGATTTTTCAAAAAGAGACTTCCACAATTATGATGCACTGGGGGGTAAATTAGAAGCAAGATATGTGGTTTCTCACATTAAAATGTACCGTAGTCCAGCTCCTCCTCCCCCAAAATCTATTTATTTTGGACAGATGATATAAGACTTCCTTACAGCAGGAAGTCCTGCAAGTCAGCAGCCACTGCTGAGCCAATATTTCCAGTATTTTGCAATAGGAACTTCAAATCCCTTACAAACACGAACAGAACGGCCAGTCGGCATCTGCAGATTCGCCCTGCAGCACTTCAACAATGAGGGACCAACCATGTGCTTTCCTTTGCACAGTTCTGCTCAGCAGACTTTCAGAAACTGAGGTGAATCCCCACGACCCAACAGTACAATGCATCGGACAGCAGCATTTGGGAGGCAAAACAGTGCTCAAACTGCAGTTTTTAAACAATCTCATGACAGCCTTGAGTATTTCCAACAGGAAACCAACATCCATCCATACTCTCCATTATCTCCACACAGTACTCAGCCCAGAAGTCTTCCACACTTTAAGAAATCCAACTGAGCACTGGAATAAAACTGTGGAATAGATGAAGTAAGGCTTGCAGGTGTGAAATACATTGCTGAAATCTTCTAACAGCAAGAAATGTCTGCACATCCCAAAGACTTGGTGCCACATACATACACTACTGCTGACAGTCATGCTCCAGTGACCCAGAGCTATGTAGGGAGACTGCTGAGGTACCTTCTTAGCTGATCCAGGTAACAAGATGAAACAACACAGGTTTCTGAACTACAGTTGTTATTTCCAGATTGAAAATAACAAGAAATAGTTTTCTTTTTTACTTAGCATCTTCCAATTACTGTTCTGAAGGCAAGTTTGCCCTCAGCTACTATGAGGTAGCTGATCTCAGGGCACAGAACTGCAAATGAGGAAACAATGTACTAGAAGGACTAACTCACATAAACCTTGAGATGGAAATGCTGCAATGCATTTCTAAATGGGCATTGAAGTTATTTAATATCACAGCAGCACTGTGCCTAACTTGCTTCACTCTGAATTGAATAGATGACCAGCTCGCTGAGAACTGCAGTATAACTCCAGCCATACAACACTCGTACTCCAAGCCGTTGGGCAAATTGGAAAAACAAACAGGTCCATCTCCCAGCAAATACATACCAAACTGAAGAACACCGTTCACTAAGAGCCTGTTCTAACACCACAGATATTTCAGGCATTCTTCTACTCAAAATATTTTGCTGTCCCCAGCATTCAGTATTGCAGAGCTGGCTCCAGCTGAACTACACAGATCCATAGCAAACAGCACAGAAATACCATTTGTGACCCAAACTTGTATCTGAAGCTGGACTGACAACACTTCATTAGCAGGGTCACTGTGCAGATGCAATATTAACAGGGCTTCACATTTCCAGTATCAAAGCTGGGAACTCTACAAAGTATTTTGCTTTATAAACATGCCTGTCTATAGCCTAACGATATTGGGAAAAGGGCACTTATATCTCATAGTGGTTGACCAACTCACAAAGCAATAATGCACTCCATGCTTGTGAACACTACAAGTGTATTGGCATGCTGTAGGACACATAAAATACCGCACAAATGCCAGCTCATACACACTGTGCACACAGCCAACCCCACTGTGCCGCTGCTTGAGTTACATTTGCCACGGCACCAAAACGTGCCACAGATGCACTAAAACATGTCATGATGCCATCAGGACAGCTCCCTGCAGCCCAGGTTTGGGGGAGTCTGTGATGCTGAAACCCAACACGACAGAAGCCCTCTGAGGCCACCTCTGTGTGGAATGGTCCCGAGGGAGGTGTCACTCACCTGTACCTAAGGCACACATGGGCAGAGAGCAGCCACATGGCTCAGGCTGAGCTAATGCACCAGCTAATTGTGCTACTAACACAACGCGCAACATCTACCTTTCCTAACAGGAAACCTACCATATTCCATGGTGAAATACAATGCTTTTGTATACACAGACCTACGGTGCCAACTAACCAAAACCCAGCCAGAAAAATAAGCCCAGGGCTCGCTGGTCCTCAGAGGAATCCTTCTGGGAGTTACTCATGTAAAACACACGAAAAAACAGGTAGGCCATTCACGAAACCCCAGCAGAAAATAAGCACATTTACCCTTCTGCACCGCCGCCTGCCTCCCTCTCTCTCCACACCGGCATCTCCAGCCCCAGCTGGGAGCCACGGCCCTCATCCCTCAAGGTGAGCACCGCGACTGGGTCGGAGACCACGGACGAAATAAATAAACTACCCCGTGAGGGAGACAACGACGGAACCCGGCCGCCCCCCACGTCAGGTGCCTGCAGGAAGGCCGCCCGGCCCGGCCCTCGCCTCCCCGGGAACAACAAAGGCCGCCGGGCTCCCTCAGGGCTCTGCCAGGCCGGGCTCCGGCGGGGCCCGCGCGGCGAGAAGGAAAACCCTACAAAATAGAGAACGTGACGGCCGTAACGGACCGCCAAAGGCACCTGCCGGGCCGCCCCCGCTCCAAGCCCTCACGGCACCCCTCCGGCACGGCAGGGCCCGCGGCGGGGCGACAAAGCGGCGGGGCCCGGCCGAGGGCGGTGGGCACTCACCGGGTAGGCGGCGAGCTCTCGCGGGGCCGCTGCGGCCGGCCCGGCCCGCCGGGGCCGGGGAGAGGGCGGCGGGCGGCCCCTCTCCGCTCTCCGCTTCTCTTCGCTCCGCGGGCGCGGCGGTCAGGCGAGCGGGTAGCCGCGGCGGGGCGGTGCGGGCCGGGCCGGGAGGGCGGCTCCCCCGCTGAGGCCCGGGAGGGCTCCGGCGGGAGGCGCCGCCACCGCTGCAGCGTCCTGGCCGCGGGGTCGTTCCGGCCCCATCAAGGCCGGGCCGCACCGGGGGGGCCGCGCGAGGCGGGGCGGGGGGAGCGGGGCCGCTCCCCTTGGCGGCTGGTGGCCATCTTAGTCCTCCTCCTCCGCGGCGCAGAGTGCCCCCTCCCCGCCCGGCTGCCTCCTCCCTCCGCTCCTCCTCCTCCCGGCTGGCTCCCGCGGCCCGGCCCGGCGCGGCCACCTGAGGAGAGCGGGTGGGGAATGGCGGGAGGAGGGAGCGGGCCCTCAGGGAGCGCGGGCAGTGCGCGCTCGCCTCTGGTCCGTCGGTGGTGGTTTATTAAAAACAATTAATAAAAATTATTTACGGTTATGTTGGGTTTTAGTAGTTTGGCTTTCCCTCGGAGTCCCGCGGAAGGTTCTGTGCCTCCCTTCCCTCGGACAAAGATCCCCCGGCACGCACCCACCGCCGCTCAACGCGCCGTGCTGAGGAGAACGGAGCGCTGCCAGCACGGGACGGCCGGAAGGGATCCTCGCGGGGCCTGAGGCTTTCCCGCTGCCTTTGGGCGCTGAGTGGAAGCCCACCGAGCGTCCCTGCTGTGGTGCACGAAAGGCACGGCGCGTCAGCGAATGGCATCGAGTTGCGGCAGGGGAGGTTCAGGTCGAGCGTTGGGAAACGTCTCTTTGATACAGTGGTGAGGCGTCGGCACGGCTGCCCAGGGAGGTGGTGCAGCCACTGATGGTGGAGGTGTTCACAAACTGTGGAGATGTGGCACTAAGGGACGTGGTCTGTGGTCGTGGTGGGGATGGGGATGGGATTGGACTTGGTGATCTCAGCGGTCTTTTCCAGCTTTAATGATTCCATTATTTGTGCTGTCATCCACACGGTTCTGATGCTGGAATGCAGAAATAGTTTCCTAATGCATCCCCTACAGCTAAAGGATTCCTTTGTGCCAGTGAGACACATTACCCATGAAAACATCAGCTAGACACAGCAAGTACAGGGTCTCTGCCACCATGGGGCAACCTTCACCCACCCACACCTTATGGAAAGGATACAAAGGTACATCCACGCTTGTGTCCATTAGCCCTTCTGCCTTTTTCCATCAAGTGCAAACTCATTTCCTTCAAGACATCAGCTGTTAACAACAGTTTGCCTTCCAGCAGTTTGCTTTTTCATTTACAAGATCTCTTTCCAATCCCTCACTGAAGGAACTGAGCAGTTTGGAGAATGGCTGCAGGGGTAAATGCAACGAGAACTAACATGCAGAGCATGAAGGGCCTGTGTGTTTCATGGGTAAATGATCACAATAAAATTGCCTCTTGCCTCTGGTATCACATCTTATTAAGCGAAGCTGGGCACCTGAGGACAAAGGGAGTCCATGCCATTTACCCCATCTTCCAACGCTGGACATTAATATAAAAAATACAGATCTATCTATTATTTTTAATATTGTCATAGGTCAGCAGCTGGACTAGATGACCTCAGAGCTCTGTTCCAACCTTATGGATGCTATGAATCTATGATTTGCAATCACTGCGATACAACTTTTCACCCCATTCTTGTTTATGTAGAGGGTATTTCTATCTAGGACTCGTGGATGTCTGAGATGGGCCCAACTCTAATTCAACTCCTGAGAGCTGCAAGGCCTTGGTGCAGGCTGCCCAGAGAAGCTGTGGATGCCCCATCCATTCCATCCCTGGAGGCACTCAAGGTCAAGTTGGATGGGGCCCTGGGCAGCCTGATGTGGGGGGCAACCAGACCACGGCAGGGGGTTGGGGTAGGTTACCTACCTCCAACCTAAACCATTCTATGGTTCTACGATTCTATTCTGTGATTCTTAAGGAGATGAAACATGCTAACGGAAGGTGAAAATACCACCTAAACAAAGAAATATAAAGAAAAATAAAAGCAAAGACAAGCTAATAAACTTCTTGCTTACACAACGTAATCCCACCTTTACTCATTAAAAGTATATCACTACACTCACTGCATCAACAGGAGCAAAATTTAGACCAATTCAGGAGACCTGCCTGAGCTAATGACTTGTGTTGGAATGCAGCCCATGGGTCCATTACAGTGCCTGTATTGTTTCTGTGCAGGATAACCAATGAACAATAAGCACCACGAGAGAAATTATGCATGGTATACCAGTTACAGCCCTCGTACAACAACTGTAGTACAATCAGTACCAGCTCTTAAACACCCAGCATTCTGTACCTGCAAAAAAGGGGACTTTATGTCATATGTGTAATGCCTTGTCTACTTCTGTCTATTTTCACCGCTTTTTGGGCTTTTTAACCTCTTCCCCAACCAGTTTCTCTCAGCACAACTATTCTTCCCGACCTCCTCATCCCACATTGTATGCAAACAGTAATAACAGTCGCTGTTTTCTGTGAGAAATAGGGTTGGCTGATGAGAAATGCTACTGAATAGAAAATGAGGAGGATCAGAATATGACACTACCCATTTGTTTGCAGTGTCTTCCTTTTGACAACACTCCCCCTATATTGTATACGTCGCGGAATAACGGATACACACAAGGAAAAGCACCCCTGTGTCTGCACCAATTGGCTGAACCAATTCTCCCCCCTTGAGGGAAAGTCAAGATGAAAGTTGGTAGAGCGGCTGTTGGCGCTACAAAGCCACCAAGAACCACATCTCATTCCACTGGAATTGTATATGCATGTTTCCCTGCAAGCCAGATTTTTTTTTTACTTTTTAGGAGTACCTTCTCCTCCAGTTCTATGTACTACCAGAATTTGTCCCCCCTTGGGTATATTTTCATTCTGACGGCAGCAAGAGGGATCTCAGATTTAATCAGCTTGTTTCAACAGTAATTCCACTTACAGAGAACAGTACATAGCAGTTACCCATCATAAAACAAACAAAACTTCTCTCTGTAATGTATGTGTAGGAGGATACTTGCATCTTTCATATGTAAAGGATTAACACATCTATCTTACCAGCTGTACTAAGAATCAAAGCTTACAGAGATAGAGCTGTTTCTAAGTCTCTATCAGCAGAGATACCTTAGTGGGAAATCACAGAAATCCTCCAAGAGAGCAGTGAGAATTGCACAGACAGCTGTACACCAGATCTCACATTTGCTGCGTGCCAAATTATATTGCTTTTTTTATTTTCCCTTTCTTTTGTGCACTTAATTGCTCCTTGCATTCCTATTCATAGTCCCTATGTTTTGGTCAGTTGTCACAGTTCCAAAATAAATAATGGCAAGCTGTAATAATCCATACTGATAGATATCAGATGCTTTTTTTTTTTTTTTTTTTTTTTTTAAACCATCCCAGCATCTCTCTTTCTTGCAAAGCTCATCACAGGCAACTGTTTCTCAGAGAAGGTGCTAGTTAGTAACTACAGAGCTATAAGTAGACAAAAAAATGGTTGGTTTTTTTTTCACAGCAAGTACATATAAAGAATCGCATTGATCATTATAAGCTGTGGAGATATATATTTAAAAATATTTTTCTTCTTTATTTAAAAGGAAGATGATACCTGTACAATTGACTTGAAGTGATGAAATTCTACTCAGCTTTTGGGTGAATTTCCAGTATATTTCTTTTGCACATATTTTGCCTATCTTGGGCAGTAAAGCTGAGTCCGTCTTGTTCGCATGAATTAGCTGAAACCAGTGGGCAGACAAATCCAAAACTGGACAGAAACTGGCATGAGAAAGTGAAAAAAACATTGAGGGCTTTTTTTTTTATTAGAATATTTTTAACCAAATAAAATAGCACTGTTTTCCAAAACTCTCAGTTTAGCATTATCATTGTACAGGATTCTTATGGCTCACTTTGAGGAACGCCCTTCCCTCCCTCTTGCCTGTTTATAGACAATTTTTTGGTATTAAGTAAGAAGGGTGGAGTAGAGAAGGCTCCACCACCACTTCCCTGTCCTATGGCACTCTGACTGAATTTGGCTGAAAGCTGAAAAATTAGAAAATCCTTGTTACACATTCTTTAGAAAAACAACTTCTGGCTGCTCGTCAGAAGTTAAAGAACCCACAAATTGTCCACTGGTGAGCTCATAGCATCTGTAAAGCAGTGACAGAGCAACTAACCACAGCCCCACAGAGTAACACAGACAAAAACAAAAAAAAAAAATGCAAGCCAGAGCTGCTCCTCCCTCAGCCCCTGGGGCCAATCCCTTTCTTCTGCTGTCCAACGAAGCTGCAAAGTTGTACAACTCGTGCAAACACATTTGTCCCATAGTGCTGCAGGCCAAAGGTGAGCAACCTGGGAACAGAGCTTGCTGCAGCTGACATGGATGATTATTTTTTTTTCTGCAACAAAAAGCAATGGTAAAGCAGCTCTGCATTTATGAGCAAGGACATAAGAGTGAGGGGAAAAAGTAGGGCATAGGGTTCTGTGACTAACAGGTTCCCACAAAGCAGGCAATGACAGAGAAAGTCCAGTTCAGCTGAGGCCTTTGTGGCCTCCACAGCCACACAGCCCTGTGTGGTGGTCCCAGAATCTGAGAGGAGATCACACTTTGAGAGAGGAAAAATGCTGCCATCTGGTGCCTCAGGGAAGGAAATGTTTGTCGTGCATCACTTGCAGCCATCTAAATGCTGCTGGTTCCATCCCACAGAGTTCGGGCTGTCTTTGTGTTGGTTAAAGGCGTCACTGCTCCGCACAGCTTATGGAAGGCTCTTGTGAAGCCATACATCAAAGCACACAGCCTGAAAGGTGCGCTGTGTCTGCTCAGAAGTGAAACAGTTGTAACTTCTGAGCCCTTGCAATATATCTCAGAAAAGGGCAGGTGCAGCACTGAGGGATGGTTTGTGGTCATGGTGGGGGTGGGTTGGTGGTCAGACTAGATGATCTTAGTGGTCTCTTCCAACCTTAACAATTCTGTGACTCATGTCAGAAATCCTGGCAGATACAGAACAAGACACCAAGTGCTATTTCTTTCTCTGATTCGCTCTTTACAGCAGCTTGTTTCTCCTTGTTGTTGATACAGCCTCAGAGGATGTGCCAAATATGCACTGAGACACTCCACACTTAGAACGAGGGAATGTTATTTCTGTCTGCGATATTTTTATTTTCACAGGCTTTCACAGAAAGCCATGACGGCTGCTTAGGGAGACTGAAGTGACTGATCAAAGAATAAAAAAACCCATATACTTCTCAATTCTAGACATACAGGAAATAAAAATGCTCTTTCTGTGAACTTACATTTGTTCCTCCCTTGAGCAGGGATAAGAAAATCCTGAGGACTGTAGGGCAGCTTCCCACTGGAAGAAAACCATATGAAACAGGGTATGTTATTTATTTATACAAGCACCATTTTTGGAACACAGCAGTTACAAAACCTCAGGCCTGCCACACGCTCCTCCAAAAAGCAAGCTCCTACACCGCTCTCTATTTCCCAGAGAATAGAGAAATTCTCTATTACTCCTGGAATGCCTTCAAGTTCACCAAGTAACCTATAGCACACCAAATGCTTCCAAACCCATTTCTTGTGCACTTCTGCAGAGCATTCAGGAAAAGGAATATGTTTACAACCTAAGAAAAGAGATTTCTGAAGCTATAACTAAAAGGGCCTTTCTTACAACACCTGCCATAATATGTACTCTCCCCCTACATCTATAGCACCTGATCAATCAGGGCACAAACTCAGAACTCACCTTCTTTTCACAGGAGCTACAGGTACAAGCAAGCAGATATTTTGCCATCACAGATTTCATTATGCATAACTGCAGATCATGACTGAAAACCACTGGCCAGGCACATACACACCCCTGTCTACCATTTGGGGCAGCTTTAATTATTTAAACTCTTCATAAATATATATAATTTTTTAAAGAGTAACTTGAAGAGTTATGAGAAGGTTGTGTCACTCTAAAAGCTGTTCCAAAAGCATGTGGTTTACATGCTAAGATCCTTCTTCAACTTAATTCCTGGCCTTAGTTTACTGCCATGCTATATACACTTGATCTTATAAAACCAAGTTACTGTGGAACTCAATCCTTTTATTACTGATGTTGCACTGCAAGAACTTGGAGTTGCTTCCTGTTCAGCATCACCAGAATTGCTTGTGGATACACAGTGCAAGTCTGGAGCTTTTAGACGCATGCATGGCTTCCTGTGGAGAAGTTGTAATTACTTTGACAGTCCCCTGCCCATGAACAAATGACATAACTTGAAGCTTTTCTAATATTATTAGCCATGTCATATAAGGATAGTTTTCAGAAACAATGACAAATCTTGTCAGTGCTTGTGGCAACCTTGTTAACCGCAAGCTAAGTTGTCAATCTCCCTTCAAGCTGCAGAATTGAAGGAGCACTTCCTTTCAAACAGAAAATTATTTTCTACAAACCCTCAGTCTCCAAGTAGGAAAAAAAAGAGAGCACTTTGGGTGAGTAGGCCAAAGTATTCATATTACCTCGGCCTTTGGCTATCGGAGAAGTAGATGGTGATTATTTTACACTGTAGATTGCTAGATGACTATGGGCTGCCTGTGAGGAATCCATGAGAGGCAAGGGGGGAGCATCCAAGGCTTGTCAGAAGGCAAATCAAAGGTACAGCATCCACACCTTTCCTAGAATGCTCTTAAGGAGTTTGCATATTAAGAAAAGCAGAAAAATAAAAGTTAAAGTATGGGCAGCATCCAGTGAGTGTCTAGAAATGTGAAATTGTCACAGATGTAAGTAACAGCCACAGGTATGTTTGCATTATCTCAAGCATAACAAAACACCATTTGTGCCATCTGTAACCAGAAGTTTCTTGGTGCTTTTTGAATGGCTGCGTGTGTTATCCTCTGGGCCCAACTTCAACAATTCAGTGTGATTTCACTGTGACCCCAAATCACTTTCCAGAGCAATGTAGCTAGCAGCCTACAATCATCACTCAGCATACCACACAACCTCCACTGCAGAGCCGGGAACAGATTTGATGGCAATTTGCACTGTGCTTTCCTTGTATCATTTAACTTCTTATTTATTTATGCTGACTGATAATGATCTGTCAACAACACTGCATCTGTACATGAACATATGCTACTTCAAATATGTAACACTGACCATCTCCATTTGCTAGAGGAAAGCAGCAGCACTTGGCATCACAGCTCCTTCTCAACTATACCTGATTACAGGTTGAAGTATAAGATTCTCATAAAGATGGCCCTTGCTCCAGGTTCTGTTAAAAGAACCAGCACAAAGGAAAACTGAAAGACATTTAAACTAACACCAAGGCTAAAACATAGCAGCACATCATGAACATCATAACTCATAGTAAAGACCAAATCTGTGGTAGAATGACAATACTGGATTAAATGTGGAGGATCTGAACATTTATAAACAGTGCAACCCTAAACTGGAAACAGTCCTTAATTAACAGTCATGGCTCATTTTCCAGTAGTAAAACAGAATATAAATTCAAGGTGAGAATCCTGTGTCAAAATCATACTTCATGGTATTGTTGTACCTGATGGACAGAACTGGACCACGTGACCTGCCAACACCGTGCCACTTCTTTCCTCTGGTGCACAAACCTGTGACCAGATTTCCCTAACACTGGAAGGTGACTCAACCTCCCCTTCCAGAAATAATGATATTTTTTTAAAGAGCTTAGCTCTGGTGTGCACTGACGACAAACTCTTTCCCAAGACACCAAGGGAGGATCTCTAACTGTAGAAGTTTTGTATCTTTGTTCCTAAAGGCTGACTGAGCAATTGACAGTGTTCCCACATACCATATTTCCACCATCTGCAGTTTTCACGTTTCCCAGATGTCTTACAGCCACCAGCAGCCATTTATTAAGCAGCCTCAGAGCAGGGCTTTCTCACTGTTTTCAGGATGGTGCCAACATGGCCCTCTGCACACCAAAATACCCCATTCTGCCCTAGCAGCACCTCAGCACCCTCTCCTCATCATCCTGAAGGGTAAATGCAGGCCCAACCCACTTAGGCTTTAACTTACTGTCAGAACTGCCTTCTCCCAGACCATTTCACCTCTCTGACCTCAGCTTGTAACCCCCAGGTGTTTTCAGAGCAGCCTGCCCAAGTGGATGGCAACAGCAGGATCTAATGCACCACACCTGGAGAGCAATCTGCAGCAGGTGACATAGGTTGGGGGGTTGTCCTGCTGCTGCCCCACCACTCCAGTCTGGGGACCTTTCACACACAGAAGTACTGATTTGGAGCAAGAAACCTCAAAGGCAGCAAAAGGGATTTGTTGAGATAGATTGCACAGGGAAGGATTGCAGTGAGAGGGCTTGGTGCAGAAAGAAGCAGGAGGTTTTTGGAGAGGGAGTGTTTTATTTAGATGGGTGTGTCTGAGTGGGTTAAAATAGGCTGGCCAGCTTCACCATGGCAGGGTTGTAGGCTTGTTCCTTGAACCAGGCACAGCAACTGGTAAATATGAGCAGTACAAAATAGTGCAGATCGCTCAACTGCATTCATTCAGGGTCATATCAATTAATACAGAAAATCTTTCATCTGCTCTGTCCGTTGCACCCCCTTCTAAAATTCACAAACAGCTGTTTTTTGGCTCAATGAACAGGTGAGAAACAGAAACAGACACTTCAGAAAGGTCATGCCCAAAACTGAAGGAGACATTAACACACTATCATTAAAAGCATGTGAAATTGGAATAGGGAACTTGCATTTCAGGTTGTTGAACTGAGGCAAGTCCTGCGTCCAATGCATACTTGGTGTAGCAATGACTAATTCTGGCAACATATCATCTGTCTCTCACGTTTCCTTTTTTTGGTCTGTGAATGCACACTGATCTCTTGGACAGAACATTAGGTGGCTTCCTCAGAAGGCATTGGTTGGTTCAACACCAAGTGATCAGGCATTTTTCTGCCAACAGACTCTGTGGACCTTATACCCCCCCATGGAGTTGCTTCAAAGTCCAGGCTGAATCTTGACCAGCATAGCAGAGAAATGCCAGGCGTGCAGCCCAGATTTGCTCCTTTCCTTCCTGGGACTAATTTCTTCCTTCCATAGGTCTTACAGTAGGAAAAGCAGTGTTTTGTAAAGAGGTTTCTGCAAAGATCTGGCAAGTGCACGTGTCTCTATCTTGTCTCTCAGAAGTCTCACTACAAGGATTTTTCCATTGGCATTGTTTTTTTAAATTCAGTGCAAAAAAAGCACAATCTTTACAATCTGTCTGAAAAAAAGTACTTAAGAATAAAAACTTTTACCAGTAGTTAGATCCAGAACAAAAGTCACTATTGATATTCTTGATTTATAATGCATTAAAAAAATGAACAAATTCAAGCAATAGAAAAGTTGCAGAGCATTTAAATATAAGTTGCTGTGTTGGCCTCCAGTGAAATGATGGGTGAAGAGTCTAAGAGCATATCAGAGCCACAGCGCAAACGAACATGGTGTTAATAACTGTACAGTCACCTAGGTCATGTTTAATTAAGAACACAGCGCCACCCAGGTCACATTTAATTAAGAAGTCTTAATTCAAACAGTGTTATTATATCCGTGATAAAAAGCAAGTTAAAAATCTCTGAACAGTTAACACCATGCTGCTCCCAGGAGTTTCAGCGTTAGCTCAAGTTAATTATGTTAAAATTATTTCCTTTGGTGTAGTGATGTGAAGATCACTGTCTGACAACGAACGAGAAAATTAAAAACTTTTTGCAACTTCCATCAAGGCTCACCTATCACTGCACTCACATGGAACTGGCCTGCCCTTGTGTCAGTGTGGAAGGAGCAGATGGTTGAAATATCACTTGGTTGCGGTGCTTCTGTTCTTTAGAGCATTCTCCAGGAAGGCTTTAGGCCTCTTGTGCTCCAGGCACCTTTTTCTGGCAAGGGAAGAAAAAACAAATCACTGCAGCTATCCCCTGGTTTGTTACACTTATGTCCTCAGTGACCTCAAGTCCTCAAACATTGTGCAACATCAGCAAGAGGGGGCAGTTTGTTTTCTTCAGTGTCTCAGTGGAAACCACAGCAGAGTAGGTCTGCAGGAAGCAGCCATACCAGGGCATTAAACCACAGCAGAGCATAATCTCCTGCCTGGGGAAGTTTTCAGACACAGGAGTAAGTGTACAAATGGGAAGTAACTTCTGGCTACAGCATGGTTACAGACAGATAATGCATTAGTGAGGCAAGTAAGGAAAACCCTTGCATTTCTAGGCCAATATTTCTTTTGTTAGCTTGTAAGCGAGCCTTTCAGATCTGGAGAGGACAGAGGAGGTAGAGAATGGCTAAAATTATTCTGAGTTAAATCTCTGTTACAGGCAAGTTTTCAAAGTTTGTAGCTAAGGACTATTCAAATGATCAGGCAGCTGGGACTCTTTCCACGTGCCAGCAGTACACAGGTGCTGCAGCTCCAAAACCAAGCCAGTACCATTGTGCCATTGTTAACAACATCATGCCCCTTTTCTATAGTAATCCAAAAGCAACCGTGCGGTACATAAGGGTACCTCATCTGAGGTTGACAAATGCTCTGCTCTTTTATGTCATGAGAGTTTCTACAGACCGTCAATACAAAAGCATTTGCAGCTTTACCCCAGAGATTTACAGTTTTCAATCCAGCTGCTGGAGGCAATTCTATCAGCATTAGAGGCAGTTCTGTTGGGCAGCTGTACTTAGTCTCTGCACAACAACTCCCACAGGCAGCACAGTACTACACACTCTTTTTTTGTCTCTCTCTGCTTGAAAGCCACGAGGGGGTGCCATTACATTCATCCTAACCAGGTGATTAGACATACACCAGGTATTTAAAAGAACATAAAAGCCCAATTACTCGTTCATTCCTAGCCAAAGGAGGGCATTGTCCCCAGTGAAAAGTAGAGTCAAACGCACCAGCACTACAGCACAGCAGTGCCTGTGCCACGCCAGCAGAGGTATCTACCATGATCTATGAGACCAGAACTGGTGTGAGAGTAGCAGGGGCACACATCCCAGTCAGCTCCATCCTTGGGCTTGACAGCTCCCACTTCAGATTCCCAGCTTCTCTTAAAGTAACGAGTTCTGTTTGTATTGGGATAGGAACTGTTTGTAAGGAGTTCTTTTGGTAACTTCAAGTTGCACCAGCTGCATAATGACAATCATGTATTAGTTTACAGCAGAACAGGGGAAGGTCAAATTTACTACCTGCCTTTTAGGGTATATTTGGCTTTAGAAGAGGTCAGAATACATGCAGGCTGAAGGAAAGCTTCCTCCATCTCCCTCCTCTTCCCTGAACTGCCTCACAGCACCTGTCATTTGTTGTCAAACTGAGCTTGCTCAGAACGGCTTCAGAGATGCATCTCTGCAAAAGAGAGAAGGGTTGATCACCTTTAAGAAGAGCTGTACAACCATCAGCTATTAGAGCAACAGAAGCCCTCTGAAGAGCCACCAAGATGCATCAGAGGCTTGGAGAGTTACACAGTATTTTTGGTTAAACCTATTCCAGCTCACACGGAAGTCTGAGCAAGCAACACCCTGCTGCAAGTTAGGGAAGTCATATCCTTAAAGCACCTTCCAAATTGCTTTCGCTCAGATAAGCAAAAAGGTGAAGGAGAGTGGCCTAAGGATAGAGAGCAAGACCAAGAACTGCACCTTTGGAGGGGAAAGCCATGGCTTGTGGATTGATCATGAGGTGGCTCTCTTATCAGCAGGGGTACCACTGCAAATCAGAGTAACAGATGCCACTGTGTTGTGTCCTCAAAGAAGGAGTTCACAAATACAGGCACCTCTCAGGTGAAAGCATCTTTCTGCAGTTGCCATAGCCAACCCTGCTTCCCCAGGCACCCAGTTCTCCCCTATATTTCCAAAAATACCTGATGGCGAGGTGATCCCAAGGTCCCTGGAAGACACCTGAATAGTCAGCATTTCTGCAAGGGACTTTCCTTGATGAAACTAAGAGCCCACTGAGGAGGGGCACTTTTACCACGCAGAAGCTCCACTCTGCCTATCACTACATTTGCACTGTGAGTTGCTTCTTCCTGTGAGCAGAGCACACCCTGCAGGAGCAGCACTTCTGGAACAGCTCAGAGGAGATGCCGCACCCTGCAAAGCTCATGGGCTGGGTATGACAGGCCCCACTGCCTGCAGAGCTGTCAGGGGAGGTAACCCTGTGCAGACCCATCTTATCTGCTCTGATTTCCTGAATGTGATTGCTGTGCATCAGCTGCCAGGTGCTCCTGTGTAGGGAAAAAAAAAAAAAAAGAAAACGAGAGGTTAGGGAAAAACTGTACACACAGTGTTTCACAGGAGGGGAGAAGACCCAGAGACACAAAAGCACACACCCCACTCCATGGTTTTGAGCTTTTTTTCCCCACCTACTGATGCTCAGGCATCTGGGTTCAAGACTTCGAACGTAAAATAGAAATCTGTTTTTGCTATGCTGCAAATGTTCTGTATCAGTTCTGGGAATGAAAGTAACAGTATCAGCTGAACGAGCAGCAAGGTGATAACACACCTGCTTCTGAAGGGAGGATGTTGAATACTCACTAGAAAGCACAATGAAGTGTTGTTTTTTCAACAGAAATTCCTTCTGACTTTATGACATGAGGCTCCGAAACATGTTTCTGTGAGGCTGGACAGCACAGTGTAGCCATTGCTTCTCAGGATGCTGTCTCTCATCCATTTTAGACTCAAAAGATCCCAATGTCCCCTTCCACCTCAGGCTGCTCTATATTTGCTGGGCAATAGTTTTTTACAGCAGAAACAAGGTGGAAGTGCACAGTACCACACACACCCTTCAAGTGCACACAACCCCTAGAGACTGGCCATAGATAGGGAATCAGTAACAGCCATGACTGAGCAATAGGACCTCTCACTGTGTTTTCTCTGAAGGTGTGCACAACTCTTGCCAGATAGCCCAAGTGTTTAATTTCCTGTGATCAAAGAGCAGAGTCCTAACAGTAGTTTTATAGCTTTACCTCCCAGTGAGAATATGTTGCCTTGTCATCCATCCTTGCGAGGGGTGTGTTGGTGCTTGGCAAAGTCCTAAATTCTTCTGTTCTGATAATAGGAGTCCTTCTCACGTGTTGCTTTAGAGATCAAGATGTTTTGCTAAATTTCCACAACCAGCACTGGTGTTCAGCACTCACAGTGCAATCTGGGTGACAGGGTGCAAGTCTGTTGTTTTCAGCAGTATGAGTCCGTAGGTATCAACAACATCACAGCCTGCTTCTGTGATCCCATCCCATACAGGGCTGCATTTGAGTCTGTACAGTTTGAAATGGCCACAACACACGTGTGAATGTCTGTTTTATAACTGAGAAGCTATTTGCAAGAGAAAGGACAGTTGTACCTTAGCTTTACACACTTTTTAGTGCAACTTGACAAAGAGACTCCACTCAGTGAGGCTTATTGTTATGTAGGGCAACTGACGTTGAAATGAAAACAAATAACCAAACAACTAACTCCTCCTGACAGAACTGCACAAAACAGATAGAAAAAAAAAAAAAAAGGACAATTTGTGCTGTCTGAATGCTTTACTGCTGTGTCACTATCTCTGCAAGCAATTCTCTCAGCATTAGCATAGCACAACCTTAAATGCCCATCCAGCAACATGGCCTTTGTACCAGAGGTGCAGAACACACTGCAAGTGCTTTGGTAGAACATACACAGTGCCTCAGGCAGGGGATGCGAATTCAATTCCTGTGTTCCAGGAGCTGGACCAGCAATCCTCATGGTCCCTTCCAACTCAGGGTATTCCAAATCCTGTACTGAGCAGCTCAGCCATCACTGTGAGCCTGTGGTTACAATCTTGAATGGTCTGGAGTCTTGAAGGCAAAATGGGAAATTAATTGCTGCTGTCTCTCTTGAGAATGCAACTTCCAAGGAAGAAGAATATATTTTAATTAAGCAATGTTCATGCATTGGTCATAATAAAATGAAGATAAACATAAAACAGAAGAGGATTTACATCCCATTTTTATTTTTACAATGCCTGCCCCAATGAAAGATTGAACTATAACAGATAATATATGTTCAAAACATTTACAGTATTTACAGATAACTTTTTTTTTTTTTTTGCTCAGTAAGTAATTACAGCAACTTTTAACAAAAGTGCAAGTGAAAAGAATCACTGGTGCAAAAGTTACCCTGTCCTGTTGATCACATTGTAGTGCTTGAATGAGCTGAAGTGACAACTGGGATAAATGCATTTCATAGTGAGCAAACGTCATTGTCACTTGACAGTGACAGGCCCTGCCAAGCTGTATTTACAAAGCCTAAGCCAGCAGAATGCCATTATTCTTTCTAGAAAGAGTGATTAGTGAGTTCAGAAGTGATCCCTTCTTCATTTTAACTTTGAACAGCAGAATTGCAGTGTCATAACTTCTACTGTGCAAACAGATGACAACAGATTTCAAATGCTCTGTTGCATTAAGTGCTAAAATAAGCTTAACTTCCTTATTATACATGCTATAAAACTACACTAGAAAGTTCAAGTTTCTGAAGCAACAATTACCTTTCCATGTGTATTCTGTATATATATTTTTTAATTTTTAAACACAGGATGAAGATACGCTGGCTCCAGGAAAGCTGTGTTTTTCCATAAGCAAACCCAAAAGCCCTGTACACAACCAAAGCCTCATTGACATGTTCATTTTTGAGGTATGCTACTGGGGTCATCTTCCCTGATGCACGCACCCCTATTTCCCTTCTCTCTCAAACTCCTTTCTCTAAGCCATATATTCTCTGGCCATGCCATCTTCCAACCTCTAGCTATGCCACATAGTCCTGCAGCCTTCAAACTGTAGGGAGTATCACAAAGAATTTAATTCTTCCAGCTACCTGACATCAACAGGGATTACTTTAGGGCCGGATTTCCATCTCAGAGCCACACACAGCAATGCTTCTCCAGTCTCACAGTGCACAAGGTGTCGTGGCCCAAGTGCAAAACAAAGCAAAAAGAGCTGCACTGTATCCAAAAGAACCAGTCTCAATGTTATGGATATAGCCCATCATCCACCCTAGAGTCTTTGCCATGGTTTTGTTCTCAGGTAGCACCCTTCTAAAACTTTTATATGCACGTGTGTGTATATACATACATACACCTACTAATGCTATATATATACACATACATCTATACACGTACATACACACACACACACACGTGCGTCAGTATGTTCACTGCAGGAGAAACTTATTCACAATCGGTTGGAAAAACTATATTGAATTTAGTTAGAATTGGCACTTGTGCTTTCTATCTGTAAATGAACCATTTTTATCATCTCAGAAAGTTTTTCTTTTAATTTAATTTGCATTAAGAAGTTCAAAAGCGGCCAGGACTGAGAAATGCAGAGCATCAGCTTTTCTCCTGTGTCCCATTAATCCTACACTGCAATTGCTTCCTTCAGAAATTCATCTGAATCCCTATGTTGTTGCCCAGGCTTGCTTGAAGATCCTCTTAGTAAAACAGTACCACGCAGCAGCAGAGCCATGCATCGTCTTGCATCACGCACATTCATGAGATAAAAGTTTCTGCCTTCACTCAGTAAGACACGAATAAAACATGACCTCAAGGTGCTTTTAAAAGGGAGAAAAAAATCCCCTTCTACACAGTAGTAAATAGGCACAAGGAATAAGGCTTGAAATAACGTCTTCAGACACTGATCATCCTGGGGAAACCAAGTTCTTAAACTCTGAATTCTTTCCAATCTGGTTACAGGGTTGGAGAATCCCACCTTCAGGTAATTACTGCTCCCAGACGTGTGTGCTTCTTTACAGTGCATAACATTAATTTTAAAAAACAGCAGCTCCACAGCCCAATCAGCTCAGTATGCTCCAGTACAGATATCTCCCTCTTGAAAGGATGAAGTAGTTTCCTAAGAAAGCTGATTACTTAAAAACACAGCAAAGTTTCACCTTCACAGTGACTCAGTAAATATAGGAGGTTTGACAGCAGTCCACCAGCACTGCTTTGACCAAGCAAACGTGGATTTTCTGGCCAACTCTGTCTTGAACGCCCAGCTGGTTAAACGAGCAACTGCCTGCCTCTTCTGTATCTTTACTACAGTAACCACTTTACACCAAAAAAGTATTGCTATGACATACAGTAATGGAGAACTCATTAAAAGCCACCAGTGAATTGAGAAATTTCACTAAAGTTCGCTGGACGTATAACTCATGGGGAGTTCAGTCCTACTGTTCTAATCCAGGACATCTTAAAAAGGACTTTTTAAAACACAAACGTTGTCAGGCTGAGCGCTGAAGAAGGCCTGCTACCATTCACTGTGGGGAATAAAATACATAGCACAGTACTGTTACTCTGTAAGCATTTTAATTATTTTAGGAATAACTCTTCTCCTGTATCCTACTGGAAAGTCACAGCATTCGCATTCCTTTAAGGAAAGAAACATTCACCTCGTCCAGATCATGATGTAGCCTTCCTTCAGCCATTACCTTTGTGCACACTTACAGTGCTTTTCCACAGACAACGTCTGCGTGTCTTTTTCTCACCATTCCTCTGTTTTGGCAAACTATCCTCGCAGGGATGGCTGCAGGATCCCTTTTTCGACAAGATGAGATTTCAGGGTTCTGTACACATTGAGTTGCTGCTCGGGCTGAAGGACCAACAGCTGCTTCAGTACTTTGCTGGGATTTGGGCCCCTGTCAATGAAATAAGTTTTTTTGATGAACAGCGGTTCTAAAGAAGCTTTCAGATAGCTTTCCATTCTCACCCTGCTCTGCTGCAGAAACAGTGCCTCCCTTTTGTCTGGCAGCACCAAAGTATGGATTTCACCCAGTCTAACCTTTGCCACAGGGTGCATGGGCAAGCATCACTGGGCCAGCACTCTCATTTGCTGAATGTAAACAG